TTCTTTAGCACTGCACTTCCTCTCAATGCGCTAAATGACCATTGCATGAAGTTGTATTGAATTCCAATGACTATTTTTCAAGTTATGCACTGGACAAGACAAAGTAACAAATGGCAATAACTTATAATGTAATTATACAGTCCAACAAGGCAGTCAGGACAGCTAAATCCCCTTCCACAGTGAGCATGAATGTGTACTTTTTGACCTGTTACCAACCATGACCGTGATGTTGTGCCATGCATATCATAAGTACATTGTCTCATGATGGTGTTTATTTGCAGTCATTTAAAATCTTTCATAAAGTAAAAAGTTATTGAGAACATATAACCATGATACATAAGTATTTAAAAGTTATGGAAGGGACATAAAATGTAGACTTTCATACATTTGACCCATTAGTTTGACCTTGACCTTGGGGGAAGTAACTCAATGGACCTTTCTGGTTTTTCATAGCGGAACTTATAGTCACACCTTTTTCATTCATTGCTAGGTCAACTGCTCACAAATAGTATCACAAACATAAGCACGTGTTCTTTTGGGCTAACCAGGTTAACCAGTGACTATGTATTATCTCAGTGTAGCGATTGGATAACAAGTTAGCCAATTTACATTAAACTGTAAACACCGGAAAGGTCCATTATTGCACTCTGCACAATCATGTTTTTAAAATGGTGATCAATTGTGCCAGGTTATTTTTTTTAAATTTCAGTGGTTAAAAAGTTATGGAGTGGACACAAAATGTAGACTTTAACATTTGACCTGAAAGTGTGACCTTGACCTTCTGGATAGCAGACCTGCACATCACATTATGGTGATCATTTGTGCCAAGCTATTTAAAAATAATTTCAGCAGTTAAAAAGTTATGGAGTGGACACAAAATGTACACTTTTTATCAAAAAATGAAGACTTTTTAACGTTTGAACTTTAAATGTGACTTGACCTTGGGGGTAGCAACTAAATTCTTGAGCTATGCAAATCCTCTTATTATGGTGATCATTCATGCCAAGTTATTTCAAAAACTTTTTGGCATTTTAAAAGTAATGAGTGGACACAAAATGTAGGCTTTATAATATGAAAGACATTTTAAAGTTTGACCTTTAAGTGTGACCTTGACCTTGGGGTAAGCAACCAAAATCTTGCGCTCTGCACATCTTCTCAATATGGTGATCACATGTGCCAAGTTAATTAAAAAAAATTTCAGCAATAAAATTATTACATTTTCAGCTACACATGACACAAACTGACACTTGCAGGCAGTAACTCTGACAAAACATATAAATTCACAAGCGAAACCCCAGGTGCACAACTTCATATGCTGATCAACATTCCCTTAAAGTTTTAGGACACTATGTCAAAATGTTTTTGAGCTACCTGTGACACAAGTTGAAAATTGCTTATTTTTACTAGTCAAGAACCATAACTCTGCAAATACTAAATAAATCCACATGAAAATACTGAGGTGCAATATCTACACTTGCTGATCAACATTCCGGTAAAGTTTCATGACCCTAGGTCAAATACTTTGTGAGCTACATGTGACAAAGTTGAAAATTGCAAATATTTACTAAGTCAAGCACAATAACTTTGACAAAACAGAATAAATCCACAAGCAAAACCCAAGGTGCACAACTTCACAGGCTGATCAACATTCCTGTAAAATCTCATGACTAGGTCAAATACTTTTTGAGTTATGTGCCACAGAAGTTGAAAATTGCAAATTTTTAATAAGTCAAGGGCAAAAGCTCTAAAATTTCTATATATATCCACACAAAAATATCAAGGGGCACAACCACATATGCTGATTAACATTCCTGTAAAGTTTCAGGACTCTAGGTCAAATACTTTTGAGCTACTTGCTACACAAAAGAGAACAGAGGGAAGGATGGACGGAAGGATGGACAAGGGTTAATCTAAATGCCACAAACCCCAAAGTGGGTGCACAAAAAGAACAAGAGCACCGCTAGGCAGAGCATTATATGCCCAAAAGGTTTTTTTTTTAAAGCAAGGATGACGCATTTGTAAGACTTTACATTTATTAAATAAAGTATCACCCCCTTCAAATAGCAATGCTATAAAGTTTGAATATTGTGGGCCGAATGGAACTTAAGTTATGCTCTGGAAACTGCTTTCAGTTTTGAGGTAATGGACCTTTCCGGTTTTTCGTAGCGGGACATTTAGCCACACCTTTTCCATTCATTGCTAGGTCAACTGCTCACAAACAGTATCACAAACATAAGCACGTGTTCTTTTGTGCAAACCAGGTCAACCAGTGACTATGTATTATCTCACTGTAGCGATTGGATAACAAGTTAGCCAATTTACATAAAACTGTAAACACCGGAAAGGTCCATAGCCACCTTGAATTTGACCTTGTGACCCAAAAATAAATTGGGGTCTGTTACCCTATATGGACAATCATCCTATGAAGTTTGAATATTGTGGGCCAAACAGAACTTGAGTTATGTTCAAGAAACTGTTTTCAGTTTTAAGCTAATAGAGACCTTGACCTTTGACCTTGTGACCCCAAAATCAATAGGGGCTTTCTACCCAATATGGACAATCATCCTATGAATTTTGAATATTGTGGGCCACATGGAACTTGAGTTATGCTCTGGAAACTGTTTTCAGTTTTAAAGTAATAATGACTTTGACCTTAGACTTTGTGACCCCAAAATCAATAGGGGTCTTTTACCCAATATGGACAATCATCCTATGAAGTTTGAATACTTAGGGCCAAAAGGAACTTAAGTTATGCTCTGGAAACTGTTTTCAATTTGAAGGTGATAGTGACCTTGACCTTTGACCTTGTGACTTTAAAATCAACAGGGGTCTTCTTACCAATATGAACAATCATCCTATGAATACTAATATGGACAATCATCCTATGAAGTTTGAATACTGTGGGCCAAATGGAACTTAAATTATACTCTGGAAACTGTTTTCAGTTTTAAGGCGATAGTGACTTTGACTTTTGACCTTGTGACCCCAAAATCAATAGGAGTCTTCTACCCAATACTGACAATCATTCTATGAAGTTTGAATATTGTGGGCCAAATGGAACTTAAGTTATGCTCCGGAAACCAAATTGGTAACAGACGGACACCAGGGGGTATTACATAATATGCCCGAAACAAACAGAAAAACTTTTTTTTCTTCAAATATTCGTATTCGTTTCTCAATGTTCAAATATTTGGTAGAGTTTCAAATATTAGATTCTAACACGACCTGCATTTTTCCCTATTGAACAAAGAAGAACCGAAAGTGTGTGTTATTATGCTATAAAATCACTGTTTGACGTTCTATATTTAGACATGTGACGTAATCATTATACACGTGACGTAACCACTAAAAATGTGACGCGCTGACAATAAGTACGAAAACAAATCAGGCGCAATTTAGCTAATTATCATGTACGGCAGCATTTATTTGTTGATATCGTGTTAGAATCGAAATAATATATCCAAATCGGTGATTTTATTGCTTGATAACATCACTGCCTGTCGTTCGGATGCGCATCATTATATCACTCGGGCTACGCCCTCGTGATATAATTCCCCGCATCCGAACTCCAAACAGTGATGTTATTGAGCAATAAAATCACAGTTTGGGATATATTATTTCTTAAATAAAATTCCCAGTCCTAATTTTAACCATTAGATCACAAGGGACATAAGGAGTCAAGGGAGAAGGCTGTCATTTGTCAGGTGCATTCTACTTACCACTGTGAATGTGATATCAATGATATTATGAAAGTAAGAAAGCATGCAGATAAGTCACAGTGTCAGAGGTTCTAAAACAAATGTGCCCCTTGCATTGTAGTCAACCTAATACTTTTCTGTTTAACAGCAAGTGACATGCATAAGCCCAACACATCATTAAAATCAATATTTTAGACAATAGCATAAACCTAATTTTAGGTAACCACTGACATTTCATTCATAAAGTCATTGTCTGGCTTGTCATATAAAACTGACAAAGATTTAATCAGGATTTTAATCTACCAAGTCACAAAAGCCAAATTACGTAATGAAAAATTATTAAAATATGTAGACTGTTTTAAGACTTAACCTATTGCATCAGAAAAGATTATCATAGGTGGCAAGTATAGAGCAAGGTCAGCCTGCATGTCTGTGAAGGCTTATAGCTATACCATTGTAGCATTATTTTACATCTTGATAATGCAAACTATTTAAATGTTTGAATGGACTGTTTCAAAGCAGGACAATGAATTCAGTTAAACAGAGCAACAGATAAGCTTTTAAAGTGATTTGGGTATTACTCCATCATTTCCTTTGGAATTGGGTATTGGCTCCATTTAATTGGGTATTCCAAAACTCTATACCCTGTGATTTCAAGATCAATTGGGAATTCAATTATGAAGATAAGAATATGATAAAGAAAATAAGATTAACAAATTACTAGAACTTTTCACAATTGTTTTATGCTTTATATAAAATGCTCTATGTTATATTTCATAATATTTTTAACAAGTTCATTTTCTGACTGATTTTTGATTATTTACAACCGTTATGTTTCAAATTATTTTCCCTTTTGTTTGATGCCATATTGCTTTCGAAGTGTCGATTGATACAGCTGGGACCTACTTATTGATGGTCTCGGCAAAATAAACAGATTCTGCCGGTCTTTGAAGACCATCGACCTGAGTAGACAAATCAAGGGTCTCATGCTTTATTGAAATGGCTTAGTCGGCTTTGGAGACCGGGGAACGTCGAAGACCGGAAACCGTTGATTAGTTAACATTGATTTGGGAATATTCGGATAATATGCATATCAATATTATTGGTCAAAAACAACAAGCATACGACAGATTAACTTTACGGTGACGAAAATGACAATACGCAAGGGTTTCTTCTCTCTTAAATAATCAATTGCATATTTTATAAAATTAATTGTGTAAATAGGCAAATACGCACCTTATCTGTTGCTTTGGTTAAAGAAAGGAGAGTAACAAAACCAAAAATAAGATAAAAGTTTCTCACCAGAGCATTTCCTTGACCTTGACCTCCATTACTGTTGATGATGGTATAGGGGGCATTAGTTGCCTGGAAGATTCTTTCCTCTATGTCTATCAGAAACTTGGAATATCCAGTTCTGTCAAAACCCTGATCACTCTACAGCCAACAACATTGTTCTTCACAAATGTGGGGTCCCCTGCATGCAGCTTTAAGGATATAAGCAACACCAGGTACTCCAGGGACTAGAAATTAATAAAAGAAAAAAGTTCAAAAACCAAAATAATTTTTCTAAAACATTTATTCAGCAAGCTTGTCATATTTTAACAATTAGCCTGTTGGAAGCAACTAACTTAACATGTCACTTGTCTGGACAAAGATCAGACAGCACATCCCGTCATGGTTTAGGCACTGTTAGCTATTCAGTCAGTATAAGACTTAAAGAAAGCAGTTGATTATCTTTATATTTATTCTGCTCAAATATGTGTCTTTGAATTTGTTGAAGGAATAATAATATGTCATTGTTGAGTGTACAACTAGCTTTGTTACTAAAGGTGCAATCTATGATAACTGGAATTTATTCTTTCGCTCAAAATTCAGGTTGAAAGCTCTGATGATCATGAGTTCAAGACCCAGTAAAGAATTTCTTTCATACATTTGCATCTTTTTATAATAAACTTAAAAATGTTTGTAACAACTGGTAGCTATGATCCTTGCTTATACTGAACTACTTTTAAGCAAATATTGGTAATTGCTAAACTACCATAAAATTCCTATTAAACGCCTCTCCTAATAATGCCCTATTTTGGTAGTGTATTTCCTTAACTACTTTTTCATATTTACCATGTTTTTATGTCTGAGTTATCATATGAATGAAATATTAAGAGCCACAGCCAGACAGGAGTATTTATTCTGAACACTTGACTTTTTCTTACATTTTCTAAAAGCAAACAAATAAACGGTTTTAACAAATCTGAAGAAAAGAAAAAAGTGATTCCTTTTTTCATTTTAATAGGTTTGTCTAGTCACACTTATGTTGTTTTGTCAAAGTATGAATTATTTCCATAAACTAGAACTCCGCGAGTTGGATGTGTCGCCTTGTGAACAATATAGTTTAAAAGAAATGTCCAAGACAAAAATGAAATATGAAAATTAACAAAGGGCAAAACTCAAAAATAAGAAATGCAGAACAGCAGTTTCTGTACACTGCACTTATCAATAAGATCTATCATCCTTTGAAGTTTCAAGTCCATATTTTTTTGATAATTTATGAGAAATGGCCTGGACAAAAATAAAGTATGAAAATTAATAAAGGGTTATAACTAAAAAATAAGAAGTGCAGAGTACCGGTTCTTGTACACTGCACTTATTCTTATTGAGATCTATAATCATATGAAGTTTAAAAACCATAGCTTTTATACTTAAGGAGAGAAATGGCCTGGACAAAAATAAAATATGAAAATTAACAAAGGGCAATAACTCAAAAGTAAGAAATGCAGAGTACCGGTTCTTGTGTACTGCACTTCAAGTCATTATAAGAAGCATGCATACCAAGTTTGAAGTCAATCTGACTTATAATGACTGACTTATGCTCCAGACAAGCATAAGGGGATGCCAACACTGTAACAACGATTATGTACATGTTTTTCTTTTAATGTAGTTGTTGTATAGGCATAAATTCTTTTAACCATTTATTATGTACTGTTATTTCTTTTTATGTAGTTTGATGAATATAATGTTTATAAAAGTTTATTATGTTTATTACAAGCATATTGTTCAACAAATACCCCTTAAGTGTAAGAATTTAAGTGATAGCCCTTTTATGTTTCTTGTCAATGTAATTCTAAATTGATAAAAGGTTGTTAACACCTTATAGGTAATTAAATTTGTTGTCCTGTAACATGTTGGTTCATTGCTGTCTGGATTAAGTTGCTATGGTCATCATGGAAACCAAGCTTAACAACCAAAGCATATTTAAGGGTAACCCTAGGGTTCATTTTTATATATGCTTTGCTTGAAATAAAATTATTTTGTGGAACCAACTTTCGTTACAGGTAAGAAATTAATTTATTTTCATATTTATAATTTTTGTTTTTCTTAAATAATTTTGATTTTATAGTTACAAAATTTATATAGATATTCCGTTCTATGTCCTCTCATTTGTAAGACATAAGCGAGTATAATTCCCAATATTAAATCTTTCTTATTATATTATTGTGATATTATATTACTGTGATGATTGTAAAGATAGATATGCTTTGCTTGAAATAAAATTATTTTGTGGAACCAACTTTCGTTACAGCGTTTTTACTAAGAAAATTACTGGAAGAAAATAAACAAGAGAAAAACAGAATCTTGAGTTTTACAATAATATAAGGTCCCAATAAAGACAGTGTCACAAAAAGAAAAAGGTTCCCCTCCCACGTCAAAACAAATCAGGTGAGAATAACCCCTGTTACAACACAAGTAACCACTTTTAAGCAATTATGTCGCCTTTTTCAAGGCAACACAATAAATGACAAATCTAAGATAATATAAGCAAAATCCAAACATTTGACATTGACAGCCAAGGAAATTTAAAGGTTATTAAGGTCATATCTGTATTATTCAAAATGTCTGTTTGGTCACAAGTGTTGTTTTGTCAACATATGAATCAAATCAGAATATTAATAAACTAGAAATGTGTCATCATGCCACGGATGCCCCCGCATGCAGCCAAAATTTCAGATGGTGCGTTAATTATTTTTTTCATTTTATGTTCAAAGCCCTTAAAACTTTAAAATGTTAACACAAACCATTTTCATACAATGTTCAAGACACTGAAATTATTCAGTCTTAACCTTTTAAAAATAACATATTTCATATTTGTAGCCAAAATAATGGCTAAAAGTATGAGTGCTGAAACTGAAAGTACAAAATTTTTCCAACATTCAGGAAAGATAAGTTTGTCTAAAATCATTGAACCACAACCAAATTCATACTTAAACTGCTTATTCCTTAGAGATGTATCTATATTATTTTCAAAGTGAAAGGGACATAACTCTGCAAAAAAATTCATCAAACCATGACCAAATATCAACTTGACCTGCCCATTCCTTTGACATATCCATATGTCAAATTTAAGTTGAATATGTAACACTGTTGGGTAGATAATGAACAGAAACTGTAAATTTCATATCATTTTCAAAGTGAAAGGGGCATAACTCTGCCAAAAATCATTGAACCATGACAAATTCGAACTTGGCCTGGGCATTCCAAAAGCATATCCATATGTCAAATTTGAGTTGAATGTGTTGTACTGTTGGGGAGATAATAAACGGAAACTGAAAATTTCATATTACTTTCAAAGTGAAAGGGGCATAACTCTGCTAAAAATCATTGAACCATGACCAAATTTGAACATGACCTGCGCATTCTTTTGACGCATCCATATGTCTTGAGTTTGAGTTGAATGTGTTGTACCGTTGGGGAGATAATGAACGGAAACTGAACATTTCACATTATTTTCAAAGTAAAAGGGGCATAACTCTGCCTAAAATCATCGAACCATGACCAAATTCGAACTTGGCCTGTATTTTCTAATGACATATCCATATGTCAAGTTTGAGTTGAATGTGTTGTACCGTTGGGGAGATAATAAACGGAAACTGAAAATTTCATATTATTTTCAAAGTAAAAGGGGCATAACTCTGCCAAAAATCATCGAACCATGACCAAATTCCAACTTGACCTGTATTTTGTCATGACATATCCATATGTCAAGTTTGAGTTGAATGTGTTGTACCGTTGGGGAGATAATGAACGGAAACTGAAAATTTCATATTATTTTCAAAGTAAAAGGGGCATAACTCTGCCAAAAATCATCGAACCATGACCAAATTTGAACTTGGCCTGTATTTTGTCATGGCATAGCCATATGTCAAGTTTGAGTTGAATGTGTTGAACCGTTGGGGAGATAATGAACGGAAACTGAAATTTCATATTATTTTCAAAGTAAAAGGGGCATAACTCTGTCAAAAATCATCGAACCATGACCAAATTCGAACTTGACCTGTATTTTGTCATGACATATTCATATATCAAATTTGAGTTGAATGTGTGCAACCGTTCTTAAGATAATGAACGGAAACTGATGATGACGGAATGACAGAATGACGGAAGGACGGAAGGACGGAATGACGGAACAGGGTAACACTATATGCCCCGGCCATTACATGGCGGGGGCATAAAAATTATGACAACTTAACCAAATTTTAATAATTAGACCTTCATGATCAATATCCAGTGTCTATTCTAGGATGGGGGATTGGGGTTCATCCATATACTTGAGAATTCCCCCCTATTTTTTCAGAGGCAGGGGGAAAATTTTACATAGAGAAAGAAGGAAAAAGATCAACAAATGTAATCAATTCTCAACTTTTGATAAATACCCCCCCCCCCCCTCACCCCTGTTTATCAAATCCTAGAATAGACATTTAAAACTCAAAAGCAAGGTCAGTTCAACCTTTTTGAAGGTGTTGTTCTAAAGGTTGTTTTGTCCATGTATGAAATTAATCCACTTATTAATTACCAGGTTATAGTCAGGTTATAGTCAAATTTATCAAATTCAATAATTTAATCTTTAAGGTCAAGGTCATACATTAGTCAAGATCAATTTGAATTTGATATAGAAGAATGTTCTGACCTAAAACATGTTCTAATTATGAAGTTTATCCATTTATTAAACTAGAACTCCCTGAGTCGGATGTGTTGCCTTGTGAACTGTATAGCTCTGTCACTTATATATAAGGTTATTTATATAAACACCGCTAAAGGACAATAACTAAAACAAGATTGTATTTGAGAAAATTGCTATGCCACCGCATTAATACAACACTAAATAGTAGTGTAGGAACAGATTTTTTTGTTTCTAGACAATTTTGAAGATTGTCATAATGCATAGATCCCTGACCTATCTTATTCTTATTATCAGATTAGTGGTTAAATCTGTTGTTAACTCAATAAAAGATCAGAGTATGAATATATCAATGCACTCAAGTCTAGCGAATTTGATGGTGAAGGTCATATTTCACACAGCCTAAATTTCATGACATCATCAAAGGACAACACAGAAAGACACTTTGTCAAAATCTAGGTCAGATGAAATCAAAGTTCACTTTACATCTTAATCTGTGCACATGGTTCAAATTTCATAGCTGTACACCAAAGGACAAGAAAGTAGGTCACTGTCCCCTTGGGTATGGCA